TAGAGCGAATGGTCTGGACTAGTTCACTTACACCCATTTGTATGATATTGGAATGAAAGCCTTTGGGAGAGCATGTCTCCCAGCACAACTTAAAAGCAACATGTCAGGCATCTTTGTAGACCTCTGTAAAAGATTGGGAATTCTACGACAGGCCTGAAGTGCAATAGATGAACTACCTATGATTTGTGCTCACACTCCAATCATACCCAAGTATCAAGGCGATTCTGCTCCTCCTAAAGGTCAGTCATAATTGCCGCCGTTCCCCATTTTATACGGAAGAGCTTCACCGGGACCCCCATGGATTGAAAGACATCGGCAAGCCCCCTCAATTGACAATTGAGTACTAAAAATCACTAGCATCACGAATCCTGGAGATAAGCCTTGCAAACAGGGATAGTTCCATCCATCCATTCGAATTTTGGGGAGTACTTACCAGATATGGCAGTCGCGCTGATGTGGAACCGTCTGAACTAATAAGTTCTTGATTGGCCACATAGAAGGTTTAGATTGAGCGTTGCGGGGAGACGAGAAGTATTGATTCGTCAGGTTTTGGCATTCTAGCAAGGGTCTTTGTTGCCCGTTTTTCCCATGCGTGCTTAGAGAGAACCTTGGGACGGTGTCCGTCTCACCTAACAAATTCGACTTTGCATAACAAAGGTAGAACAGCAAGTTTACAACTGCGTAGGCATAACTGCGAAGGTTCCTGCAAGCAAATGGACTGCAGATCTCAACTGTCCCCTATTTAATCAAGCTTTTGATACTTTTCAAGAAGCTTATTCTTGATCTCGGATCGTTGGATACAGATGAAGTTCCAACCTTCCAAGGTCTTGATTGCCAATCTCCACTTCTGAGCCAGCCAAGCGCGGCAGCACCAAACTCCAAAGTGAGATGTCGGTCAGAGCGGGTAGGTTACTAGTAACCAACCCATCATGAAGCGTGTGCACTGATACCTACCTTAGTCAAATTTAGGTTGGTAAATCAGAGAAAAGGAGAAGTCGCCAAACTACCTAACTTCCAGCACTGTGGCTGTGAAGTCTCACTCACATGATTGAGGCTTGCTGTCTCTTTGGTCCGTCCATATGGGCACGATTTCTCCTCCAAGATGACCTGCTAACGGAGCAGCCAACCAATTGGATTTTTTCCGTCATTGTGCGTCGAATTGAACTCAAAAAAGTCCTTTCTGGGCGCTTGAAACAGAAGCATTCAGGGACTCCCGGAGTCTGACTAATTTCTTTACTCGATCCATTCTTCCAATACTGATCCAAATTCATATTTCGTCATGCCATATTTGGCGTAACGATTGAGGCGTTCTCATTGACTTGAATCGCGTGTGGTTCCTTCTTGTGCCACACTTGCTTCTCCACTATCAGTACGAATATATCCGTCAAGATATGGGGTTCGACCTGACTGATCCGAGCTCATCATCAGCGGCCTCTAACAATTCTTGTATCTGGTGGTCCCGTTTTCTCGTACCTGTCACTACCGTTTCTGGTAGTCTGACCTGATTTCTACCTTCTGGTACGTCCGCAGCAGTGGACTCAGGAGACAATGTCGGCTAGCTCCGACGCGATGTCCGCGGATGGTGGTCGCTCGCAGCAGACGGCCCCGTCGCAGCAACTGAATCGTTCCTGTGAATCATGCAGAGGCCTCAAAGTTCGTTGTATCCCTGATCCAACCACAGCGAACCAATGCCAGCGGTGCACAAAGACCGGAAGGGTTTGTATCTTTGTAGCACCCCAAAGGCGGCGGCCACGAAAGCGAACTGATTCCAGAGTTGCCCAATTGGAGAGGGAAATGCGGCAGATGCGTTCACTATTGAAGGACCGTTTCCATGCGGACGACAGCAGTGCAGAAAGCGTGGATAGCGAGAACGACGAATCGCCGGAACATGATTCGGGTATCGAATCCAAAGAACACCTATCTTCAATCCCCGAGGCATTGAGCAGTGTCTCAACATCAACCAGGCATACGGACCAGTCTCATGGTGTTTCACTGTCTTCATATTCCAACGTTGCCGAGAGCAGCTCGGTCTCCATCCCCTCGTTCACACCTGGGTTCAGTGGACACTCCCCCGAAATGCCAATAGGAGATGACATTATCGATCGGGGTGTGATCCCGTTGGAATACGCCAATGAGCTGGTGGCGTTCTTCATCAGAGATTTAATGACCTTCGCTCCCGTCATCGTGCTGCCTCCTGAGACTACCGCATCGCACCTGCGTCATTCTAAGCCCGTACTGTTTCTTTCCATCATTGCCGCTGCCGCTATTGCTGTGGATGCGAGTGTCGCGGCCATTCTTAATCGAGAGCTCGTTCGGCTCTATGCGGAACGATTCTTCATTCAGGGCGAGAAATCCTTAGAGCTAGTCCAGGCATTGGCGCTCATGACGGTCTTCTACTACCCTCCCGACTCGCCAATGAAATTGCAGCACTTTCAGTACACGCACATTGCAGCTACCATGGCTTTGGAAATTGGTTTGGCCTCTAAGCGTAGAGTATCTCCAAAAGCAAGCGGGAAAAAAGACAAGCGGAATGCATATGACGAGCAGATGGCGGAACAAGCGAGAGCGATATTGGAGTGTTATCATTTGGCTTCTACGTAAGGATCGAGAAGCGCCCTGCGGAGAGGCAGCTGCTGATCATTTGAAACAGTGTCGCAATGAAGACTCGTCGACCTAATCTGCTCCTTTTCAACGATTGGATGAGTGAATGCGTGAAACACTTAGAAAAATCGCCAAATGTCATAGATCGACATATGGCCACCTGGTTCGAACTCCAAAGGATCGTTGATGAGGCTATGGCTTCCTTCGGCCTCGATGACACAAGCTCCACCACGCCTTTGACAGAGTCTCGCGTTCAGGCTGTATTGCGGTGGTTCGACAATCGAATGCTGAATTGGAAGAAGAATACACCTGCGGACATGCTCACAGGTGCGCTTTCCTCCCCGCAATGACTTGGAAGTAGCTAGCTCACTCTTGTACCCTTCAGTGCCCATGAGCTTCGAGTACCATTACACCAATCTTGCCGTATATGAACTGGGAATCGGAGAAGGCTACCGAGATCCTGATGCGATCAAGCAGGAATATTACACGCTTCCGAGACCGGAAGGTGACCGCCGAAATCAACGCGCCAGTACCCCTCTCAGTGCCATCCGCGTAGATTTAACGATCAAGTGGATGCATACAGCTCACGAGATGCTCAATTTCTTCCTCAGTTGCGACAATGAACTCATGCGAAAGCTTCCGAACTTGATATACACACGTGTGGGCGTGGCATTAATGTCCCTTTTGAAGATATACTTCACTGTAATATCAGGCGGGTTGGGCGAATTTGTGACGCCGGAGTCCGTCAAGGTTGAAATGTACCTGAACGCAATCGCAAGGAGACTCACCGAGGCAAGCGGCGGCCAGAAGTACAAGATCCCCAGCCGATGGTATTATGTTCTTGCCGTCAAAGCTCGAAACTGGTATGATCGGCTGCAGCAGCGGCAAGCCCAGCGGGAAAGTGGCTTTGCATCTCAAATGGAGGCGGGCCAATCGATTCAGATGCAAATGCCAGCCCATACTCTTCAGCACCCCGGTCCCATCAACCCAAATTGTTCTACAGAGTCACTCGTCGTGGATGCAGGCATCCCGCAAGGTCCTCCATATTCCAACATGGGTAGTGCCTATGGAGCTCCAGTGGCCATGAACCAAATGTGGCATGTCGACCAAAATTATGTGCCCACATCTCTCAGCTACCAGTATCCGGAATATCAGCCGCCCACTTTGCAATCTCAGTATGGGTACATGGCACAGCATCCAAGCTTACCGTCGGAAAGCAGCCAAAATCAACCGCCTTTACCTCGTAGAACTGGGATGGAATTGGACGGCTGGCTCCCCGATGGGAGTATATTTGGGGCACCCACTTTACCTGGATTTTGATGATGCGGTTGCATTCTTCCTGTTTCAACTCCGCAATTAAGTGCGTGTACATGTCAAGTCAAAGGGCTTTCTGACCTCGCCATCCTCATCGAGGGACTTACATACCTCGTGTGAGCCATCTCATTAAAAGACCACGACAGTCCATGAACTATATTTATGACGGAGCCATCACTCCACCGACCCTCATAGAGGCGAAATCCAAACAAGCGCTTTCCAGGAAAGAAAAAGAAGAAAAACGAAGACAAGAAGAACGTAGGCAGACTAGATATTATTGAATGAGAAACCCTACACCGGAGTAACTTCGGTACGGAAATTTATTCCATCGCAGTCGACCCTCACGGAGTATCGGTGAACACGGAACCTCCGGTATGGAATTGTATCCGATTTGAGCATGTCGTACAACGCCCACCCCTGAAGATCTAAGAGATCAGCAAATCATTATCGAGACCCTTCAAAGCATCGTGGAGCTGTCAAGCCGTTATTGGGTCTTCTTGAGGATGAAGCGAAATTAGACCGTTCGGATTTGGAGTATGTGCCGACTGCCGACTTTCAAGTATAGTGCCCCTCGCTTAGATTCCTAGTAAGCTGTGGGCGCCATGGAAGTCTTCAGAGCATCCAGATTGGCGGGCTAATATATCCATCTATCTCCAGAGGCTGATTCCGGCGTTATATTCGAATCCAGGTCCCGTGCAGAAATGTATTGGAGGCTAAGTGGTTGTTGGGCGAGAGTCTGGTGTCTTATTATTGTCTAGCGGTCTACCCTTCTCTCTGTAGTCCGCATCAATTATTGCCAGCAGTGCGAATTAGCAACTATCTAGCAAGATGAAAATTGCGATCGAGGCAAATGAACTGATCTGATTAGATATGCTCTGATCAATTGATCCATTATTACTGTATAAATTGTCTTGTTGCTATCTGATTTTCTCTTATGACGTGTAATGGCGTAAACCCTCCCTCCATTTCGCCGCGCTCTCTTAATGGTGCCAAAGATATCAATAATGTAGTCTACATATATCTCTCGACAGGTACCAATGTAATTATCGTGCAAAAACTCTGAATATATCACTAAGATATCCATTATGTCAGATCTATCCCGTAAAGAACCCTCTACGAGTGAGTTGTTCCCCCTCCTATATCCAAGAACAGCCACTAAGTGGTATCATCCCAGAGGCTCTCCTAGAGAAAGCCAAATACCAATCTGACAGCATCCGCGAGGCCCTCAATGACCCCGAGCAGCACACGACTGGCGCGCAGTTTGACAAGAGCAAATATCCCTCTGAGCCGGTCTGGGATAAGGGTAGCACGACCAAAGTGGCGGTTGATGCTCCTCCTACGGGGAAGATGTGAGTTTGTCCATTTCTTGATCTTTCAGCTTTGCTGGTGTGAGAGTGATTAGGGTATGTGGTTCAGTTCAGCAGTTGCTGATTGATGCTGTATCAGGGTGGATAAAACGAGGGATCCTGCTGGGGTTAGTTAACTAGCTATTCCGGGTAGATGGATTGGTTGTGCGGTCTTTTTGTGCTCAAGTCGATGTATGACCGGGTACTTGGAATTTGATCTTGATGTTCTGGTAGTCGAATCTTGACGAATAACCTGCGTAGTCTGCAGCGATTGGTAAGGGTAGTTGGGGCCAGCTCAGCAGTAGTCTCTACCAACTAGCGGCCGTCTAGAATAATAATCATCTCGTAGCTGCGAAACCTATCTGCGGCTGCAGAACTATGCTCCCAGGATGGAGGACCTAAGATATGAGCACAATTCACAGTATACTCCAACCTAAGAGCAAGCCCGAAATGATCAGGGTCCGAGCCTAATGATGCTGTGTAAACAGTGATGGTCACATGTTTATTCTAAATATACAAAAGCAACAGATCGTAAACTAACCCACGGTGCTATACGCTAACTTCCAGAAATGCCTCGAAGATGGCCTCCTTCCAATTCATTAGCCTGGGTGTATATTCCAATAAGATAATGCCAAAATTTATACTTCTAAGCAGGTGCAGGAGTGGTTTGAATCTCATGGAATCTGGGTGATGGAATGGCCTCCGCATTCACCTACTCTGAACCTAACTGAGCACCATATGATTGCAGTATAAAATAATAAACTATAGGATAGTAAATATTAATATTTAGTGTACCAGGCCCTTGCTTGGTATACTACACCCCGCATTACGTGTATAAGACACTTAATCACCTCCTGAGGGATAGCAATCCATGCCTCCCAGATAGCACATCTAAATCGCGTCTAATCTACCTTTGATCTGCCTCCTAAAAAGAGTTCGGGATACAGCTCCAAAAGCTTCTTCTTTAAGAAGTTCCAGAGATGGTTGAGAAATATGGGATTGAAGATGGTTGATTTTTTTCGAGCTTTTGGAGTGTGCACAGACTTTTGACCTATAATGTATAGACCGATGGAGTCACCCGAAGCGCAAACAATTGCCGCATTCGGATCACCCCATAACGGAGCCGCCCCCCCTGGTCGCAGTCGGTCTCTCAACACAATTCCGCAATCGTTCGTGTTCACAACAACACAGCAGGGAGAGGAGTAAGAGTGTGCGATTCGATTTCCTTCCTCCCTCCCTTGTTGCTGCTGCCTAACCCGCCATCCTCGCTTTTATTTCAGTGCTTTGGTTATTGACTTCCCGCCCCCTCAATCGTTTAGGTCTCGTGGACTACTTGAGCGTCCCTTTTCACGCGACCTTTTCAACCTCCAATGATTGTCAGCACTGAATGCTCTTCTTGCGCGAATGGGTGATACTGCGTGGTTCGAGTTGGAATACACAGGAGGCTTCACCTTCGGGACCGAGTCTAGGAAACCGGCGAGACCGCTTTAGCACGAAACATTCATGAAGAATGACCTCACCCTCAAGCGCCGCTATTGACCATTCTGTCGACTCTTCCACTGACCCTCCACAACCTGGTTCTCAAGCTTCGGGGGATACGCAGTCATCGGCTGTATCTACTCTTCCGAATAATGATCAGACGGACGACAGAAGGAAAGGGGAAGCGGGAGTGAAAGAGCCAGAAGGAAAAAAGCCTGGAGGGAACGCAACCTTGGAAGATAACAAGGCGGATGCAGATGTGGCAGAGTTAGACGACTTCGGGCTTCCAATCCCAGTCCGGCCCAAGGCTGCACGCCGGTCAGAAGACGAATCGCTAGAGGAGGACGAAACGTTCCATGATGTCGAAGAGAGACAGTTACCGCCTAAGAGTGAGACCACCTCCTCAGAGAAAGATAAACCCGCTGCCTCCCACGATCTTCCCTGTGAGAATGACAGGCAAAGCACACCTCCACCGGCCTACTCTAGCATAGATATCCACGATTCTGTCCATCAGTCCTCTCCAACCCATAAGAGGCATTCGAGCCTCAAGCCGTCGGAATGGTCGCACCAGCGACTGACCGAAAACAAAGAAGCCAATTTGGAAAGCGATGAGGAAAGCGACGGCGAATGGAAAGAAATGCCCGCCCTGGGCGAATTCGATGTCTACGACGATTATGGGCGATTGGTTGCTCGTGGCGCCAAAGAAGAGGGTGATGACGCAGTATATCAGGGCCTGGGTGGCGCTGGAAAGGGATATACTCGAGTACAACTCGACGAAGACGCGCAGTCGGCGACAAGTTTGGATCAGGACACAAGCTATCTCTTCAAGGAAGCCGCCGGCAACTCTGTGGGAGTAGAAGGAGAAGAGCTGCGGGACCCGCTCAGCCAACTACAAGCTACTAAAGATCTTCTGACTGAAAGTCAAAGGATTGCCTATGTGGGTGTGACGCGGCTGGAGATTTACCAGATGACCGACGATTTGGAAAAGATACCAACAACTAAGGCTTCCCGCAAGGCGAAACAGAAAGCGGCCGACGCCATGAGGAAATGGGGTCAGACCGTCATGGGAAGGATCTATACTCACATGGAGATCGATCCTGCGGAGCAAATCATGATCGAACAATTGGCTGAGCACGGCGTTCAGCCTGCGGATCTTGTTCGACCACTGATGCAAAATGCTCGGGTCAGAAATCCAATGGCGGATGAGCTCGACTCTCCGAAGGAATCTATGTCCTCGAATGCGTCTCGCGGCTTGAAGGGGAACAGCCGAGCAAGTTTATCGACCGAACCTGAGGGTACTTCCGAACCGACTTCCCCTCCACCTTACGAAATGCACGAAGATGACGACCTACCGGAAGTGCGAACCCCGTCACAGATGCCTACTTCAGCAAAGATTGACATTGACCTTCGTTGGACGGTCCTTTGCGACCTATTTCTTGTTCTTATCTCGGATTCAGCCTATGATGCCCGATCCCGATCCTTACTAGAAAGAGTCGGCAAGTCCATGGAAGTGTCCTGGCTGCAAATTGCCCGCTTTGAGAAGCGTGTCATTGATGCCCTCGAGATGCAGGAAGCTGCGGAGAAAGAGACCTGGGATGAGTCTGAGCACATGGAGAAGCGTCGCAAGATGGCGCTGAAACGGAAATATATGGTTATGGGCCTGGCCACTGTTGGGGGAGGATTGATCATCGGTCTCTCCGCTGGTCTGCTGGCTCCGGTCATCGGCGCTGGTCTTGCAGCGGGCTTCACAACTGTCGGAATTTCTGGGACCAGCGCTTTCTTAGGGGGAGCTGGTGGGACAGCCTTGATCGCTTCTGGCGCTACCTTGACAGGAAGTACTATCGGCTTAAGGGCTTCACACAGACGCACTGGAGCTGTGCAGACTTTTGAGTATCGTCCTCTCCACAACAACAAGAGGGTCAACTTGATTGTTGCGATTTCAGGCTGGATGACTGGCAAAGTCGATGACGTTCGATTGCCGTTCAGTACAGTTGATCCTATTATGGGCGACCTTTATTCGGTCCTATGGGAGCCGGAGATGCTTCAGAGTATGGGTGCCACCATCAACATTTTAGCCACAGAGGTAAGCGTCTCCTGATTTTGCGTGGCTTTTGCTGTCATGGAGCTGACTGCATTGCCTATAGGCCTTGACTCAGGGTCTGCAACAGGTCTTAGGAAGCACTGTCCTCATGGCTTTAATGGCATCCCTGCAGCTACCTCTTGTTCTCACTAAGTTGTCATACTTGATTGATAATCCCTGGAATGTCTCCCTAGCTCGTGCCAACGCAGCAGGGCTGATTTTGGCGGACTCGTTGATGGATCATAATCTGGGCAAGAGACCTGTCACTCTACTAGGTTTCTCGCTTGGGGCAAGAGTCATATTCTCGTGTCTGAAAGAGCTCGCGGACAAGGGCGCTAGCGGCTTGATTCAAAATGTCTACCTTTTCGGGGCTCCGGTCGTGGCAAACAAGGACGAATTCATCAAGGCACGCAGCGTTGTCTCTGGCCGGTTTGTGAACGGGTACTCTTCCAATGACTGGATTCTGGGATACCTCTTCCGGGCCACAAGCGGCGGTATTATGCGCGTGGCTGGTATTGCTCCGGTAGAAGGGATTCCCGGCCTGGAGAACGTTGATGTCACTAACTTAGTCAATGGCCACATGGACTATCGTACCGCTATTCCACGGCTACTCAAGGAAGTCGGGTGGGAAGTTCTTAGCGAGGAGTTTGCTGAAATCGAAGACCCCGACCCGGAAAATCATGGCGAGCGGCAACGGGAGCTAATCCGCGAAATTGATGAGGCCCGTAAAGCCGCAGAAGCTCAACCAGAGAAGAAGCGGTTTGGACTGTTCAAGCGCGGCAAATTAGCTGAGAAAAAGGGATGGGAAACATACGATGTGAAACGCAGTGACTCGTTTCCGCGAGAATCCACTGACAGCAACGGAACCGGAACTGTCCTCTTCGATATCGATGCGATCAGGGCAGAACTCGCCTCGGAGATGATTGAGGTCAGGCAGCTGGAGTCTACGCTCCCACCCATGAAGCTGGATCTCAATTCACCATCAACCCAATCACCAGCTGCTGATACACCGTCAGAGTACAGAGCTTCCAAAGACGGATACGCCACCCCATCCGTTCCTCAGACACCCGTTGAAAATTCCCTGGGCCACTCGGCCTCTCAAAAGACGCAATCTCCGCCACCCCATCAGGACCAGATCAATATGACTTTTGATACTTCTTACGATAACCCTCTGCAACGTTCTCATTCTTCCTTTGAACCAGCTGCCTACGATTCATATCCGACGAGACCAGCTTTACGATCCTCTGTGACGATGCCGACTAGTGTCGGTGCCAGTGCGGTTGGCGCTATGGCTGTTGAGCCCAATGCCTGGGCTGATCACGAATTTGGCCACGGCGAAGAGGGTGAGATCTCGATGACCTTCGAGTGATTATTGCTTGGTTTCGTACGGGCTTATATAGTTCTCCCGCGAGTGTGTATAGATCTTCCCTTGCTTGTTCCATGTTCATCAGCTCCTCTACGTAACGAGTGATGAAACAACGAGTGAATGTTGTGTGATCATTCTATTCTGATTTTGCATTTGGTGTCTCCTTATGCGTGTTAATTATTTCAGCCTTCTGCGTTTCAAAGACTCGATATAGATTTTGTTGAATGACATCGACCTGTATCGAAAACTGTCAGAATACTCATGTATTACTCTCTGGAAGTTAGCGTTCAGCATCGTGGGTCAGTTTACGATCTGTTACTTTTGTATAATTAGAATAAACATGTGATCATCACTGTTTCCACAGCATCATTAGGCTCGGACCCTGATCATTTCGGGCTCGCTCTTAGGTTGAAGTATACTGCGAATTGTGATCATATCTTAGGTTGTTTCTCAACAACGTATCAGGTAATGTGGAGAAAGCGCCGCGATAAGAGATCTTAAGCGTGTCACCACATGGACGCGTTCCGCTCCCGTCCCCAAATTCAATACGACGGTTGCATTATCTGCCTTTTCTCTCTTTCTCTATTGCTGCAGATCCTTCATCCCAAATACAAAGCGGCTGGAAGCTGAGCAATAATTTGACCCTTTCAAAAAGAACACTTATTTTAATTGGAGGAACTCTGCGGGGTTCATGCGGCGGGTAGCAGCAGCGCGTTGGACGCAATAACCGTCGCTAGAGAGAGGTATACCTGAGTCTCAACATTGACGTGGATAACCTTGCTGCTGTTGAAGCATAGGTGGCTTTACGAGTGGCTGTATCCGACTTCTAGCTCCTACTGCGCAAATCGGACCTGCTTATTCAACATGGTTACTCCTACATCTAAACCAAATTCGAGCTTCTCGAAGGTATATTTGACCAAGAATAACTACTCGGGGCGGTCTCTTCACCCAAATGCCAAGCGACCTGGAAAGAGAGCTGAGGATTCAAAGAAGGAAGAAGACACCCAGGAGCTTGAGGGATCTGAGGCGGATTGGGATGAGCGGATTGTGGACAATCAGGACATAACTGCTGAACCCGCCAGTTCTCCCGTCAGCACTCTTGACGACCAAGAGAATGAGGCTCCGCCCGGTTTTGAGGATTTTGACAGCGCAGTGGGGGAAAGGAGGAGGTCACAAAGAGGCAAGAAAGACTTGCACGGTTCTGAGTCTCCTACTTTCAGCCGCAAGAGGAATGCCGATGACATGGCCCACAGAGCTCAGACTGATGCCGAGAAGGAAGATTATGTATTCGGCTGGTCACAAAGTCAGAAGAAGCGCAAACAAGGTTACTCTGGAAAGAAAAGTGATGGCTCTTTGTGGAAGGTGCAAGACTCTACGACCACTCCCTCTCGGTCAAAGTCATCACCTTCCTCCAGTGCTTCAGATTCAAAAGCAGGCCGGAGCTCACAGAGAACCAAAACGGAATCCAAAAAGAAAGCTGTTGGCAAGGCTCCAAGCTTTATGGTCCCGCCAGATATCGACGACCTTCTACCTCCATCGTCTGGAAGTCGTACGAAGCCCGAGTTTGTTATCCCCCCTTCCCTTCCCAACGATACGATATCTAGCTCCTCTGGATTTGCATCATCCGCTCAAATATCCCACTTCTTTGACTCCGATGACGACTGTTCAAGTGGCACGTCGCTCAGTTCAGTACCAGAAAACTTGCTGGAAGAATTCTCACAGATGGAGGATGTCTTGCTCTCTGACATGGACGACTCAGAAAACGCGGAATTGAAGCCGGAGTTGAAGCCCTCGTTGTGTCCCTGGTGCAAGAAGGCTGTAGATCCAGATGCTCTGAGGAAGTTTCGGGCGCAACCGAAACAGCGGATTCGCGAGCAACAGCAATTCTGTGAGTCGCATCAGAAGGAGACGGCGGAGAAAGAATGGAAAGAGAGAGGTTATCCAGACATTGATTGGAATACTTTCGATGAGCGCATCAGGGGTCATTTCGACGATCTGGACAGTATCTTAGTACCGGAAGGCAATTCGTACTACAGAAATGTCCTTGATACTATGTTGAAATCGGGAAAGGCAAAGAACTTTCGCCTGACACTCGCTGGAGACGCCCTCGAGACGATCTGTTGTGGTTATTACGGAACTCGAGGGGCCAACAAGATGTACAGTCTCCTAGTTTTCCCCCTCTTTTTCAACTGCTGTCCAGTTATTAACCTATTCTCTTCACAGGCTACAAGCTCTTACGGCGCGATTCTCCCGCAAACTCCGTCGTTTGGCAGCTGAGGACCACATCGTCAAGACAGCTGGGCCTGTCATCTATGCTCAGGCGGTTCTCGTGCCTGAACTGGCCGTCAGGCTAGTCAAAGAAGATATGGGTGTGGATGTTGACTCGGCACGACAAATCCTACGAGAGAGCATTGAAATTGGCGAGAAGCTGAACTTCGCCCCGAACGATGTGGTCCCGATCCCGGTTGAACCGGAGAATGCTGATATTACCATCGCCTAAAGGCATAATACCCGACTACATATCGATATTCTCATTCATTTCGCATACTTATTAGCGACTGTATATAAAAACATTTTTCAGCTTGATACCATAGTTGTTCTTGCTTGTTTGTGACGAATGGTATATCGAAGGGTATCAGTGTGCGAGAGGGCGGCTCATGTTGAGATGTATTCTTAGCGTGATTCTCAGCTGGAATGAGCATACGAATGGGCCCTTTTGAGGGTTTGACGATGTTACATGAGCCAAAGAAATGGTGTTACTTTGACGCCTCTTGTTATTATTTGTTATAATCTTCCTTGTTTAGGAAGGTCGATAAGCTCTCCAAATCCACTGATAAGAGTAGAGCAATTCGGACCCACAATTACGTGTGGATAGCTCAAGCGGAGAGTACCCACTCATGATTTGTAACTCCTCTCTTTCCCCTCATCTTGCGAGGATCGACTCATGCCTCCAGCAAACTGCCACAGCACCTTCTTAAACTAATGGCACTGTATGTCGACACTTTCTGATTTCTACAGCTGCTGTACAAGAACCTTTGAGCTCTCACACGATGAGGGAGAAAGCCATGGCTCCCTCAGAGACTACTCCGCTCCTTGTTGTTAGCGTCGCTCCACAGCGATATCGATATCCCCATCATACCTTGCGGCGGGTATGCAGCTTTTCCTTGAGCCTGATTCTTTTCGTTGGCTTGATCCTGTTCTTAATTCCGTTTGCCATCCTGCCCCGCGAGCACGGCTCTCTATGGTCGTATCTCCCCGGTGCCAACCCGTTCCCATACGCGTCATGGCCCAACAGTCCCGGCCTCACGTATGAGCAGCTGCAGGCTGTCCTTCAGAGCACTCCATCAGCCGCCAAAGCCCGTGAATGGAGCAGTTATTACACGGCAGGTCCGCACCTAGCAGGCAAAAACCTCAGCCAAGCTCTCTGGACCCGCGAGAAGTGGCAAGAGTTCGGCGTGGTGGACACGGAAATCGTCGCTTATGATATCTACATCAACTATCCTGTAGATCATCGTCTGGCTCTGCTGAAGAAGGACGGTGATAAAATCGAGGTCACTTTCGAAGCTTCTCTGGAAGAGGACGTCCTTGAAGAGGATCACACGAGTGGTCTTCCCGATCGCGTGCCTACTTTCCACGGTTATTCCGCCAGTGGGAACGTCACCGCTCCTTTCGTCTATGTCAATTTCGGGACGTACCATGATTATCAGGACCTCATTGATGCCAATGTCAGTTTGTCGGGCAAAATTGCTATTGCAAAGTATGGTCGCATCTTTCGTGGGCTGAAGGTGAAGCGGGCACAGGAGTTGGGTATGGTCGGTGTGATATTATACGATGATCCTCAGGAAGATGGAGATATTACGGAGGACAATGGCTTCAAACCTTACCCTGAGGGACCTGCTCGGAATCCCAGCGCCGTGCAGAGAGGAAGTGCGCAATTTTTGAGTATGACTTTCTTCTCCTTCGGTCCTCACACGTTGACTGATACTGACCATTTTGTGGTAAGGCATCGCTCCCGGTGATCCCACGACTCCCGGCTACCCGTCTAAGCCCGGCTGCGAAAGACAAGATCCCAATAATACAATCCCGTCTATTCCTTCCCTGCCCGTCTCCTATCAGGAAGTGCTCCCTTTCCTAAAAGCGCTGAATGGACATGGTCCCAAGGCATCTGATTTCAACAAATGGTGGCAAGCTGGGAAGCTCGGATCGAAGGGTGTAGAATATAACATTGGGCCTTCTCCAGATGACGTTGTCATCAACCTGTACAATGAGCAGGAGTATATCACGACTCCGCTATGGAATGTCATCGGTACCATCAAGGGAGCCATTCAGGATGAAGTTGTGATTCTGGGCAATCATCGTGACGCCTGGGTTGCTGGTGGAGCCGGGGATCCGAACAGTGGATCCGCCGTGCTCAACGAAGTCATTCGCAGTTTCGGCGAGGCTCTGAAGGCAGGATGGAAGCCATTGCGCACTATTGTCTTTGCTAGCTGGGACGGCGAAGAGTATGGATTGATTGGGTCTACTGAGTGGGTTGAGGATATGCTTCCGTGGCTGTCGAAGTCGGCGGTTGCTTACCTTAATGTTGATGTCGCCGCGGCCGGGACCCACTTGCAACCCAAGGCGAGTCCGCTTCTCAACAATGTAATCTACGAGGTGACCGGATTGGTCCAGTCGCCCAACCAGACAGTGGAAGGCCAGACAGTGAGGGATACCTGGGATGGCCGAATTGCTACCATGGGGAGTGGTAGCGACTTCACTGCGTTCCAGGATTTTGCAGGCATCCCCAGTTACGATCTGGGTTTCAACCCTGGTCCCAACGACCCTGTATATCATTATCACTCCAACTACGATAGTTTCGACTGGATGGAACGATTCGGGGACCCTGATTGGCTGTATCACGAAGCATGCACTAAGATTTGGGCTCTGGCTGCGGCTAAACTGGTGGAGACTCCTGTGCTTGCCTTTAACGCTACGGACTATGCTATGGGCCTCAGCACATACTTGGATAAGATTCGGCCTGCGGCGGAGCGACTGCCTGGCCATTCATCGTTCGACTTTGGGCCACTGGACAAAGCGATTGCGCGGCTCCAGAAAAGGGCTGCGAAATTTGACGCCGAAGCCGCAGAGCTGACCTCGCAGTTGGACGAGAATCTTCCGTGGTGGCTCTGGTGGAAGAAGGTGAGACTGTACTTCTTGATCCGCGGGGTCAATGACAAGTACAAGATCATTGAGCGCAAGTTTCTGTATCAGCCAGGCTTGGACGGGAGAAATTGGTACAAGCACGTCGTGTTTGCGCCTGGCATCTGGACTGGATACTCAGGCGCGACATATCCTGGGCTGGTGGAAAGTCTGGAGGCAGGAGATTTGGAAAATGCAGAGGTTAGTCGTCTCGCTTTTTGCACGATCTGGCCCGTTCTTTTTTCGTTTCTGCTAACGCTATGATGTACAGAAATGGCGCGATATCATCCGTGAGCGAATCGAAGATGCCACGGACCTGTTGCAATAAGATTTGAAATTCCGGTTGCTATACTCCGTATAGAGGTTGTGGACGCTTTTCTTTTTTTTCACGTTTACAGGCAGATCTGAGTGATTTGGAAAGTTGTGCACAAGCTCTATGCCTGCTCAAGTCCCTCTGGGATTCTCAGCCTTTGGACAAAGCTATCAGCCAATGATTCATTTATGTGGTACGACGTATATGAATTGTTAATTATGTAGAAATGCATGGCCATGTTTTATCCTAGAATTATTTTGAAAAAACCTCCTGGAATTCAGTATGCTATTTTTTTATACAAAACCCACGACATCAGCACAGACCGGAAAAGATTCCGCATGTCACGGTGACCGGAAAATCCACAGCAGGACCTATGATGAAGTTGTCGCTGATCGACAGTAGAATGTTTGAGTCATGATCGAGGAGCAACTGACCTGGTGCATGCATTTGAAGGCACAGTCACTCAAGCGGTCAAACTCCGAATCGCCGCTGGGATCTATCATTATTATTATGTTCTGTCCTTCGTTATCAACCGCTACTGGTCTACTCCAACTCCGTATGCTGTGGGGGTCCAATGATCCATCCATCAGCGGTCCTGCGGGCTAGGCCGACTAGAGTCGTCCTTCAAAAGAAACATTGCATCTCATTCGACTCTGATTTTTGTAGAATCCGCATTTCCCCACTCGTGATGCTGACAAAAAGTAAAAAGTGAGGCCTTTGACAATAATCGATCCGAACTAGTGACTCAAAACAGTGTACTAATGCACAGACTCGACTCTTGTTTTCCTTCTCCTCCAGTTCTGTTTTTTTAATCCTCTTCTCTTTCGTGCTTGACTGGTCCAGTGTCTACTATCGATAGACTCCGGGGTACTTCTTTTCCATGACTTTGACGCAAGACTCGCTTTCCCTCGGTTACTTGCCTCTTATCGATCTGTATAATAGCCGATTGTCCAGCTTACTAGGCTGTTGACCAGGTTCCTATCACAGCTTCCACATGCACGAGAAATCTCCCAGACTGCCGGTGCGGCAGCTGCTGATTTTATGTAAGTATTGTCAAACTAGAGATAACTATGCTATCCGCAAAACTGACTTCTTGAACCAGCAATATGTAGATTTGCCGAGCCAGGTACGTCCAAGCTCACTCAGGAGTGCAACATTGGGATACAAATTTCTCAATTAATAGACCGATTTCGGACTTCGACCTATACTGAACTCTTTCCCCTTGCTAAACAGTTGTTTTCACTTCCTCCTTACCATATCTCGTATGCAAACTGCCCGTCCGATGAGTCGCCATTACCCAGCTAACCACCGTTCACCTCCAGCCCGAAATGATTGAGGACATTGGCGTCCCCAAAAACGAAGTCGCGAAATGGGTCGGGATCGCCTCGGCCGCGTCAGCCGGTTCCCAGGCTGCCATGGCCGTGACCTGGGGAACCGTCTCGGACACCGTCGGTCGCAAGCCCATCATCCTGTGCGGCTTGACATTCACCATGATTTTCTCGCTTATGTTCGGCCTGTCAAAGACTCTGGCGATGCTGATCGCTTCACGTGCGCTGCTGGGGCTCATGAACGGGAACGTCGGGATCATTCGCACCATGGTCGCGGAGATGGTCCCGGAGAAGGAGTTGCAGCCACGAGCATTCAGCGTTATGCCGCTGGTTTGGACAATTGGGAGTATCTTTGGGCCAGCCTTTGGCGGTGCGCTAGCGCGCCCGGCGCAGAAGCATCCGGCGATTTTTGGGAATTGGCAGCTTTTCAAGGCCTATCCGTTTTTGTTGCCCAATCTGGCATCGGCTTTTCTGTTCGTTATCGGGATTACGACGGGGTGGCTATTTTTGCATGTGAGTGCGATTTTCAGATATAGAAGATTCGTGAGTGTGTGTGCTAATGGCGGACAGGAAACACTGGCAGCCAAGAAGCATCACCGCGATGTCGGGTTGCGGCTGGGTCAGATGTTGACAGGCTCCTGCAGCTCTCGCAGAAAGGAGATGTCCTACTCCGAGACGCGGGAGGTTGACGAAACGACTGCGCTGCTGGGGCAGCATCGGTCCACAAAGAGCACAGCTGCCAAACGACCGAGCTGGAAAGAGGTCTTTTCTCCGCAGTCTACACTGGTACTTCTCGCCTATGGCATGTTGGCGATGCATAACATGGCGTTCGACTCCCTGCTTCCAGTTTTCCTGCATACGCCGATCCAGAGACTGGACGGGAATCCGGAGGTGCGGTTACCTTTCAAATTTATCGGCGGGTTCGGCGTCGGTACGTATCTGTCTCTCTCTCTCTCAAGCCGCTGTCTTGACACTTCCTGCATAGACTCCCAAACGATCGGCATATACTACACCTTGATCGGTATTATCGGCATGTTCGTTCAGTTCTTCATCTTCCCGGCAGCAGCCAAGCGATTTGGGGTCCTCAACTTCATCAAAGTCATTGCTGTCACCTTCCCTGTCGTCTACCTCCTGACACCTTTCACTGCACTCGTACCAGCATCGATCCGGAGTTTTGTTGTGTGCATGCTCATGCTCAGCAAGCTGGCATGCACCATCTTCAGTTTTCCTTGCTGTACCATCCTCCTGACTAACTCTGCAGCGAGCCTCAATGTGTTGGGGACCCTGAATGGGGTCGGCACAAGTGTCAGTGCGATTGGAAGAGCGGCTGGGCCTGCACTCGTCGGTGCGGCGTTTTCCTATGGAGTTAATCAGGGCTATGTCATCCTCCCTTGGTGGCTTCTGGCTGTCTTTGCTGCCTTGAGTGCGGTGCCTGTCTTTTGGGTAGAGGAGACGGATGGCTTTCATGGCAGCCAAGAGTCGGAGTCGGAGACTGCAGAGGATTGAAGTTGTGACTTCTCAACGCGGCCGGAGTCGGCTGCGCCTTCGTCATCTTGGACTTCGACGCCTATCAAGGGCACAAAAGGACTCAATCTGAATGGTGAACCCCAATGACCTACCATTGAATTTCTTGCAAGCACAGCATTAGACCGACTTTCAAATCTACATCCCACCATCCATCAGGCGTTCACTTCCATCACGATATCACATTTCACGGTTTGTCATGATTTACGTTTCTAAATGCTTTATGGGCAACGATTGAATGCATACATATGATTTATGTCATCTATCAAAATAGGACTAGAAATATGACTCTTTACACCATCTATCTCCTGCCGACAAGGGTGACCTGACCCAAGCCTAGAAGCTCAATACCATTAGTAATACGGCGGGCCGCTCGGCATGATCCACATCCGTACTCCGTAGTAGTACTCTGTTCTCCACCAATAACACCACCAATTCAGATGTCACTGTCCAGCTTACGGCTCCTAAGCTCTTCTCCATATATCAACAACCTGACGTATCTCCCTCGACCTTAACCTCCGGKATTCATCTATTTAAATCCTGCACTCGAATCAGTCTACCTCAACCCCAACCGTCAATATGGTATGCGCACCCTCCTGTCAACAGTCCTAAGCAGCTAGCTGATACCGAACAGTCGCAATCCCTCCCCAGTCCCACGAACTCCGCCGCCGCACTGTCCCTCCTCACATCCATGGGCGGAATTATCGGCTACGCCCGCACGGGCTCCATCCCCTCCATCGCGGCGGGTCTTTCAGTCGGTGCGCTGTATCTGTACAGTTTCCTGCGTCTGCGCGACGGACAGCCCTACGGCGAGGAGATCGGGTTGCTGGCGTCGGCGGTGTTGGGGGGTAGTTCCGTGCCCCGGGTTATCAAGACGAGGGGGAAGCCCGTGCCTCTTGCGTTGAGTGTTCTGGCAACGTATGGGCTTGTGGTTTTCGGGTTGGCGTTCCGGGAGAAGAGGGCTTCGAGGGTTTGAGTTAGGGATTTTGAGTTCGGTCTGCACAGTCTACCTTATGCTACGGGACTCTTACTTTACAAATAGCGGAGGGAAATAATCCATTTGAGAGAGAGAATCAAATAATAAGGAGTCGTCCCCTTTTGAGTTCAAAGCATCGTTGATTCGTTGCCTACCTTTATGCTAGAGAACTTACAGCAGCATTCACTTGACAACCCAGGGGTTTCCCGTATCCAAATCACTCCACGCGGCAAGAACACGAAACTCGTCAAGTTCGGACGAACAACTTCCCATAGTAGCCAGTGATATCAGCCTTGCTCGGTGAAGGTTGACAACCAAACTCACCAGCACTATCGATGCTCTTCAGTCGTTCATCGTATCTCGTTGCTGTTTCCTCAGAAGGTCCACCCGCATCATGACGGCGAAGAGGATGGATGAGTATTGTAGCAGCCCCTGTTCAGTTTCAAGCATAGTTTCTTCTTTCGTGCACTTGATGTTGCCATGGTACTGAGATATTAGGGGAGTAGAAGACATAACAAGAGGATGGAGATAGATAAGATGAAGCTAGAACTTGATATGCATCGAACTTAGCTGAAATCTGTGGTTCGTACCTCTGTCCAGACGTCTGACCGGAAATCTTGAACTGATTCTGAACGGAAATGGTGTGTGCGTGTATGAATCTTCGAAGGGTATGTTCGTTTCGCAAATAGTCAGTCGGCTCACAGTCGCCGCACCAATCATCATGCTTTTCACTGCGCAGAATCGAAAATCTTGTCTGACTCCCGGATTGTCCCCACTACTACAGCAGCAGGGAGCTCTTCAAGCGTCGTTTCTCCTCGACGGTCAGGAACAAATGCGTACCTTGACAATCTAGCCATCTTTTCCTCCGGACTGGTTTCATTATCAGAGTATACTAAGCGTGTCGGTTTGGACTTGTCCTTCTTCGACGGCTTCTCTTCAGTGGTTGCACCTGCACCAGCTGCAGCTTTGGCCGCGGCCTGGTCAGCTTCCTTCGCTGCCCCAGAGACAAGATCATTGACCGAAGATGATATCGATGCAGCTTCCGCCCCTGGTGCTCTTCCGCCATCTGGAACAGCAGTATGCACACCAGCGTTCGGAAGGGGGTGACCCATGTGTATTTGTTGCATTTGATATGCATTAACTGGCGGGGGTTGGAAAGCGGGCCGCTGTGGGAGGCTAGGCGCGGC